CATTTGAAGTAATATTCGTTTGTTATTATAATTAGGCCTTTGGATGGACTAAAGATTGGCACCAACAGTCATTTCGATCGCCTTTTATTTTTTTTGCAGGAGCGCATTTCATAAAATGCACACACTATCGGTCCTAATCGACCACACCCAAAAAAGTGCTATAAAAATTTTATATATTAATATTTTATTCCACTTTAAATTAGCCAATCTTTTAGACCTACTTCTCCTTGAAATATTCATGTCAAGTTTTAATTACATTTCGCGGATTTTAACCCTTTATATCCCGGTTTCGTCACATGAGCACACTGCTTTTTTTGCCCCAAAAAACATAAAACTTGAATATTTTCCAAAAAAAACATTTGAGATAATATTCAATTGTTATTATAATTAGGCCTTTAGATGGACTAAAGATTGGCACCAACAGTCATTTCGATCGCCTTTTTTTTTTTTTTTCAGGACCAGAAAATGGTCTCCAGACGGCAAATGCTCCTCCTCTAGGCCGAAAAAAGTGCATGTTCCCGGGGTAAGTCGCGACGATGACCGGGGCACGATGACCGGGGACTCCTTTTTCCAGCACACACGTTCGATACCACGTGACAAAAAATACGTCATTTCCTGTTGACTAAAAAAAAAAAAAGCACCCTCTCATGGTCCTAGGGACCGAAATGGTCCGCCAGATCAGCGGGCGAAGCCGCTGCTGCACGCCGAAAATGAGGCTTTGTTTCCCGCAGGTCTGTTACGGCAGCCCGCTGTTTTCCAGCCCGGGGTCAAATGCGGAGCAAGGGCGCCACCCGGTGGACAAATAAAAAAATTACAACTCTAAGGCCAATAGACCAAAACGAGACGGAGACATAAGTAATCACCAGGACATTAACGGTAATAATTCTGCAGTGAAAAATAGCGTTTATAATGGAAGTCAATGGGACGAAAACGTCCACTAGGGCTCTAAGAGGATGTGTATTGTTAGCTTAGCCACTGAAGCTAATTTAAGGAAGTCAGACTTGAATTTTGAAATAAAATTATACCAAACTTTTTTTTGGAGAATTTGGCTATATTCAATTAAACACAGTGCAAATGGCTTGGAATCGAAAAATGCAAAAGCCACAAAAGGTCCCCAGGGCTTTTCAGGTGTGTTAAGCTTAACGGCAATTAATTAGTAGTGGAAATAATTTCTGGTTCGCATTACAGAAATGTAGCAGTGACAATAATATTGTATGCTGTAATCGTACTGGGCAATTAGTGATACAAAAAAACCCTGTTTTATCCTGTGAATAAAAGTATGTTTTTGTCAATGTACCATGGTAATAACAGAAGTGAAACACAATATTGTGTCAGGACAATTCACTATTTATGCACAATAAACAAAGGAGCATAGCGTGACAATTTCTGTTCAGCGCCAGACTTGCTTGTAACCTATATCACCAATTATGTTAAGAAAAATGATGTATTAACTACTACAAAACACCTTTGTGGAAATGCTTGGAGCAGACTAACATATGAGCTGGAGTGTTCTGGGATGTTATATTTGGTCTTCGAATGGCTGCAATCCAGTTGCCTCTTTGTTACTTCGGAAACATGGCTTGAACAATTTCTCTTCAACGACGTAATCCGATAACAACCGATCTCTTTACCCGTCAGCTTCCCGTGGCTGTCATGCGACCGGCTATTGCAGTTAATAATACAACAGCTTCTTGCCATTTTTTTTCTTTTTATCGCTGTGTAATGTAATTTCAATTGAAAGCCTGCGTGCGCTAGTACCTCTTGCCACGAGTTCCCAGAATCCTTTGCGGTTTTACCCCTGAATGATGTCACATTTTCAATCTCTATTCATTCACTCTCACATTCACACTGGTGGAGGTAAGCTACAGTGGTACCCATAGCTGTCCTGGGGCAGACTGACAGAAGCGAGGCTGCCATATCGCGCTATCGGCCCCTCTAGCCATCACCAGTAGGCGGTAGGTGAAGTGTCTGGCCCAAGGACACAATGAGCGAGACTGTCCAGCAACCTTCCGATTACAAGACAAACTGCCAATTCTTGAACCACGATCGCCCTTTTTGAACTTGGTTTATTGGAAATTACCCTACACTGCATACTTTAAATCTCACTGCGCATCTGTCATTCTCCTTTGCAGACCCCTTTGTGTAACCCACCTCCTCCCCATCTCCAACTCTCTTTTTTTAACAATATTTTTAGTCATTTATTTTCACAAACAACCCATAATTACATAATATGATATGGTGTAAAATTCACAGCAATGAAAAACAAAAAAAAGGAACAAACAAACCGAAAACCAAACACACAACACCAGCTCAGATCCATCTTAACAATACAATACCTGTGGTTCCAATAGTATGCAGTTCGAACACTCAAGGAAATCCTTGTAGTAAAATATTAGAGACATCGGGTTATACATGATTCACGTATGGTTCACAGACCTTAAAGAATTGGTCTGTTTTTGAGTGTAATATACTCCAATGCTCCTCTTTGCCAGCCTTTAACAGTTGGTGCTTTTTCATTAATCCACTGCAGTTTGAATATTCTTCCTCGCAGCTTAGGTGAGAATACAATACAACCTCCTATTAGTCTTGGATATTAAATGCTGGCTCATGAGATGACACATGTTCTCAGACAAATCATACATGACCCAGCAGTTTTCAAAGAATGCAAACTTTGTTATTACAACAGCTGCCAGAAAAGAAACTGGTTGATCTTGATCGGTGGTCATTGCTCTCTCTCTCTGGATTTTAACTAGCTAGTACTGCTGGCTATTTTTCTAAGCCAAGATGATCTTAAAAGAGATGCTAGCATTAGCCATGTTAGTCCGTTACCTTCAACAGATGGTCAGGCTGTCCACAGGTGCACACGTGGAGTTTCAACTGCATAGTCCCTTCATCCTTCATATATCTGTGTTAGAAAGAGTGTAAATACTGAGGTCCAATGGTCTTTGTACATACAAAATTCAGTAGTAATTAGGACTTTTTTTCTAGGCATTCGTTAAAAATATATACCTTATTTATTTTATACCAATTAAAGGGATAGCTCAGTAGGTAGAGTGGTGGCCCCATGATCGGAAGGTCGGGGGTTCGACTCCACTGAACGGCTACCCTTAGGGTACCCCAGAGCTAGGTACCGTCCCTACACACTGCTCCCCGGCGCTTGCATTGGTGGCTGCCCACCGCTTCACTGGGTGAATGGGTTAAATGCAGAGGAACTATTTCCCTATGGGGACAAACACATACACATTACAATACAATACACATTACATTACAATACTACACTAGTAATGGCTTTAGACTTCCATGTGTGAAACTCTTACTAGTTTAGTCACACTGCTTGCGTAGAAACCTAGACTTGCAATGATTTGAAGTTGTGAAAGCTCAACTGGATTTATGACATGTTCATTTAGTTCTGCCATAGTGCCTTCTATATGGCATGACATCCTACTTTTGAAATAAATAGCATGCTACAAATTCTTCATAATCTGCAAATTTTCTTCTCATTTCTCAATTTACATGAAATTTTTATTTATTTATTTATTTTTATTTTTTTTGGATGCACTTGGATGTGTGGATCCAACTTGATTTTTTCCAAAACACAAGGCCCTACTTTCATCGAGTTCATTCAGAGTTTAACTGAAACATTTGGCACGGTGTTTTCGTCAGTCTGTTTGAGTTTCACATCACTTTTCCACAGAAATCACTGGTGATAATTTGAAATGGGGACACATACTGACAATACAAAAGCAATTGCTCTGGGATGTAATCTATGTGAATGTAAAGTTGTGACTTAGCATTCTTGTAGTTTCCTAGCTAACTAGAGACTGTGTGGGTTTGTATACAGTATACAAGTGGAAACATTATACAATATTTGAATGAATGAAGAAAAGTGCATATACTGTTAGCATGGAGTAATAAGTTGATTTTAACAAAATTAAAGAAACATTTTAACAGCTATTTAATACATTAAAATACCCTGTCCTTTAATGGTGGGCATTTATAAAACAATGTCTATTCTTGACTACCCACTATAAGTCATGATTAGACTTTGTATGTCAGTTACACATGCTTTATGGAACATGCATGTTGTCCATCAGCAATTAAATGCACAGCTCATTTATACTCAAAGATTCTCTCTCTTAAAAACAATTGTCATTTCAGTTGCTCATAACTGGACTCATTTTAAAGGGCTTGCGGAAAGGGAGTCATGATTGTTCGGGTTTTCTCTGCTTTCTTTATTATATTCTCATATTTATTATTATTTAATAATATCATTTATTATTGTATATACAATAATAAATTATATTATTGTGCTTTCTTTATAATAGAAAGCACCTTGAATAATTTTGATTTGGTACTACTTAAATAAAATAAAATTGAATTGATCTGAGCTGTCCTACCACGATTACCTTCCTCACCCAATCACTAACTCAGTCAAACTATATACTGTTACCATCCATCTGGCCTGTGTTGCTTGCAATCTGTTTGTAACCTTTTTAGTGTCTGCCTTCAGTCTTTTAAAATAACAATTGTATTAAAAAGTACAACATAAACACATACAATCATAAAACCTTTTCCCTTAACATTAAAGTTACCTAAGTGAGAAAGTCAGGGAGAGCTCAACAGGTTTGTGCAAGTTTATGCTTGGAATCCCACCATGCACTTAGAAATGTGGAAAAGCCCTCTTTTGCTGTGTGCAAACAATTCAATTTTCAGTATAACAAGTTATAATTTATTTTCCTCATTGACCTCTGTTTGGACAATATCAGAAAGAACAGTGCCCTGAGGCACCTGTTGTTGTTTTCTTTTGTTGTTCCAAAGCTATGGGTGAAGTCTATGATTCTGGGAAATGGGCTTTGTAGAGGGGAAAAAGAAGAAGAAGAAGAAAGTGAAAGCATTCTGGAAAGTGAAATTAATGTTGCAAAACACCTCTTGGGGGTGGGACCACATGTGCAGGCAGCGTGCTGCTTACTTCACAGCATCAGGAGCCATACTCAAGACAGAAACGGTGAACAGCGGATCTGCCATACAGCCACAACTATGAACTCAGTCACTGCCTTCATTGCCTGCCTGCTTATCCTAGGTGCACAAGGTACTGTGAAAAAAAAAATTTTTTTCCTTCTTTGTTTCTTTTTTTCCCCTTCATCCTGTTTATGGATATTTTGGCTGCTGATCAACGGGTAATGCTCTTGTCTTTTCCTACACAGGACAACCAGCCAGCAAATCTAATAAATGCAAGTGTTACAGTTACATTGGCAGGATCAGCCCAAAGCTCATCAAGGCTGAGCCAGTGATACACTACCCAAGTATCTTCTGTCCACATACAGAAATCATGTGAGTCCACAAGATCATCTGAGGCATGATTCTGCTGTGTTCTCCAGCTCCTTTCTAATACACCTCTTTTTAAAAAATCTTTCAGTGTTACCACAAAAGCAGATATGAAGAGGTGTGTGAGTCCAGAGTCCCCACTTGGACGACACATTCTAAAAAATCGTACTTACTAAAACTTACTAAAAAAAGTAAGTCAGAATGACACGCACGCACAACTCTGTGTGAAGATGACAAACTAAAGGTCTGTGTTGCTTGTCACTGATAATCTCACTTGTTTCTTCAGGCAAGGGAGGAATGGAGCTGTAAAGATCACGACTGCTGGTCAGAGTACTGCTGCGATTTAAACAATACACTGCACAACCTACAAGCTGCACTCGTGACACATGGTTGTTGAACTAGAAGAACTCACAGCAAATACAAGACAGCCAATATTCTTTTTGGTTACTTTGCCAGTTTTGTTCCCATGTGTGTGTATGTCTATATAGTCTGGACTTGAACTTTTTTTACATTTTTGTACATATGTTTTTTAAATAAATACCAAAATAAAACTCATGTGATGGGACTTTCTGTTCTTTGTGTCTTGCTTTGTTTCCAGTGTATCAACATAAGACAAACTAAACTCTTACACATATATTATTTAGGATTTAAAAAGAGTTTTAAAGTTTTCTTTAATCTGGGAAAATACAAACTGAGTGATAATTCCACTTTGAAACAAATGAGCGTACTGTGTGTGCAACAGTAGTGCTGGTCATAGCTGTTAGCTAACTGGGTAAGGGTGTCATGAGTCTGTAGCTCAGTCCACCGGTTTATTTAGTTTTAAAGTAAGTTACAGCCTGCCTTTTGGAGGGGTTATATTTCACTTAACACTATCTAATATGCATATCCACATAATTGTGGATTATTATAATCATGATAGAAAAAAACGCATTGTGTTTTAAAGAAAATACATTAAGAAAAAGATTGTTAGATTTATATTTCAAATATAACAAAATGCTGATTTTACATCACCCAAATTATTGTATCTCTACAGTTTAAACATTTAATAAGATTTTGATGATTATTGATTGATTATGCCTTTAATTGTCACTTGCGGTGTTACACGTACATGTTACCTGCAGTGAAATGGGACCCCTTCCCTGTTTGAAACAAACTGAATCATTATAAATAAATTATTTTATATTTATTACTTTAAAAAATCCTCAGTACTCATACTATATGACTAGGAATAAACAGTAAGGGAATGATTCTGGATCAGCACCATGATGAAAACCTGTTGCTATACAGTATTCTGAAAAAAGTTGTACAATGTCACACTATGTGCATGTGCGTGTTCAATTCAATTCAATTTTATTTATATAGCGCCAAATCACAACATAAGTCGCCTCAAGGCGCTTCATAGATACAGAGAAAAACCCAACAATCATATGACCCCCTATGAGCAAGCACTTTGGCAACAGTGGGAAGGAACAACTCCCTTTTAACAGGAAGAAACCTCCGGCAGAACCAGGCTCAGGGAGGGGCGGCCATCTGCTGCGACCGGTTGGGGTGAGAGAAGGAAGACAGGATAAAAGACATGCTGTGGAAGAGAGACAGAGGTTAATAACAGATATGATTCAATGCAGAGAGGTCTGTTAATACATACACTGTAAAAAAATATTCCGTAGAAAAACAGAAAATGTCCTGGTAATTTTCTGCCAGTACATTTTCTGTTTTTTTACGGAGGTTTGACGGACCTTTCTGTAAATGATAAAACGGAAAATTCTGTAGATTTACAGTATACTCTCTGTACTATTTACGGACATTTCCTTCAGCTATAAAACAGAAATTCCGTTTATTCACAGTATATTTTCTGTATCATTAACTGATATTTTCCGTTAATAGAAAAATTGAAATTTCTGTTTATATTACTATTTCCAAGCACTTCTTTTCACTGTAACTCATTAAATATAGTTCTTTATATCCTTAAACGTACATTTCTATGCAATTACAACCTAGTACACCATGTACTCAAAAATTCATAAATTAAAACTTAAATTAATTTGTGCTTCGTACACAACAACATTGGTACAATTAATGTTAAATATTCTTTTATTCTCCTTAACTCAAACACTATACTTAAATATAATGACAGCATCCATCTTGTCATAAAACTACTAAACAGCTGATACATGAACAAAATAACTCACAAGCTTTCAAATTTGAGCATTTTTATTTCCTTGAAATCAGGTTGCCCTCATGTAAATGTGTTTATTTACATTCATTCAAGTGGCTACCAGTGTTTTCTTCAACAGGACACCTGACAAACAAAAAATGTCATATTTAACGACATGTTCACATTTAATAATATCCAGAGTACCTTTTAGTTAGAATCACTGCCTTGTGGTAGTTTTGCCTCAGCCAAATGGTTAAGGTGTGGTTTACATCCATCTCTGTCCACTTATGATACAGTATACACATGTAGTCAGTTATAGCCAAACACCTTTGATTACTGAATTGCATTCACTTCATTAATGAAGTGAATGTAATTCACATTTGCGTGAACATTTGTCTGAGATTAACTCTTTGGGCTCTTTACCTTACAATATAACATACTTGAGTCAAAATTTGTTGACTGTTTAAGTGGTGCCACATGAATACAACTGAACAGATCTAAAGAAGATGTTCCTGAACTTTGGGTTTATTCGAACAGGACTGATGGATAACCACAGGACTTTTCCCTATGATAACTACACACATAATAAATTAAGACAGATTACTGTCCCAAACTTAAGATAAAAGTGTATTTACGGGACTTGTTTTGTCAGTGAGGAGCAAAGTTATAATGAAGTGCTTGTTCTGATGAAAAGTTAAACTGTAAACAGCAGCATAGTGAATAAGGATCTGTGTCCACGAATCCTCAGCAGTGACAACACTTAAACATCATAGTTCAAAATCCTTAAGGCACACCTTTTTCTCCACGGTGTTCAAATTCTCTAAGCTGGTTAAGTAGAGGAAAAAGTCTGACATATTTCATGACCATTAAATGTTAGACAAGGCTCTGAAAACGAGGTTACAGTTACAAACAAAAACCTCTGCTTGTGCGCACAGACCCTAAATCACAACAAATAAGACAATAGTAAGACAAATTACTACAAAGTCTTGTTACCGCTCTTCATATAACAGTGTGACAAAGTCCTGAATGCAGCCTGCATGTTAGTACATCAAGGTCCATCTGAGCTTTAAGTAAAATACACTCAGCTTTTCCTTGGATTTTAAGAGTTGCTCAGTTCATACAGGAACTGCAGCAGTCGGAGTTAACGTGTCGCTGTGTTGCTCCTCCGTGTCAGCCATTGAGACTAGTCGCAATTTATTCTGAGGAAAAAAAGAGAAACAACAAGACATTTTTAAAAAGTTTGTATTTTTATAAATTTTTTTTACCTAGAGCATAAACAACATAAACAAAAAAAGGATTAGGGCTGTGCGATATGACGATATATATCAGATTACGATATAAAAATGTCTATCGTTTCATATTATACACTATTCTTTGTTTTGTGGTGTTGCAAAATAAACTGTTTACGGCAATATTTTTTTCATGGTTTTGATGGTCACTGTAGTTGCTATATTATTTCTTAAAGTTCTCTCCTTCTCTTATACTTAAAATAACCACACTATGGACGGACAAGTGACTGTTTTTAACGCGTACTTTCGTTACCAACAATGAGGATAAAACTATCGTGTGTCTCCGCCGTCCGCTTGTTGATTTTCCACATAAACCTTTCACAATAAAGCTCAAGTTTCTGTTGAGACTTTTCAAACTAAACTGAAATGATATACATTATTCTCAAACATAAAATTTCAGAATATGCATCAAACAAATGACCTCAAATAAAAACATCAAGTAACTATAAATGGCGCTTACAGTCACCACGCAGATGAAGGCACAGAGAATACCAGCATGGCCAGCAAGGATGAGGCAGAACCAGAAGGACCAGTCAAAAGAAATCGAGGACCTTATTGTTAAATGAGGGGCTACCTCTGTAGCATGGACATGGTTTGGTTATGAAAAGTCTGACACGCCCCAGAAAACTGTACTATGCAAATTATGCCACAAACTGGTCCCCACCACCACTCGAACACGACAAACCTCTTTAACCACCTACACAAGAATCACATGAAAGAGTTTCGAGAGAGTTTACGAATGAAAAGCAAAAAAGAGTCGTCAGGTGCTCAAAATAATCCTTAGACTCAAACGTTAGAACAGGCTTTTCCTTGCAGCACGCCGTCTAATAAATACTCAGAAAGAAAATGGCGGCCATTTAAACTCATGTCTAAAAATGTATAGTTTCATGCATCGGTCAAAACACTCGACTCCTGGTACACGACGCCCAACTGAAAACATTTCACATAAGTCGAGTTGCCCGAGAATCACAGAATTTACAGAAAATGCACTATTTTGTGATATATATCGTTATCAGGAGAGATACGTCTTATATTGGGATATGAGACTTTGGTCATATCACGCAGCCCTACAAAGGATTATAATTCACGTAGAGTTGCATACACATAACACCATTCTGTTGCAACAAAAGCAGTTTATAATTAAAGTAACATACATACCTTGAAAAACTAAATCAACCACAACATTAAACTCACCTTGTGTTTGTAGAGAAGGTGATCAGGGTTTTTCTTCATTTCCTGAGACCAGCTGCTCTGGATCATCACCAGCTTGTATCTTCATCTTTTTTTTCACTCGGGGAAGTCTTTCCTTTTCTTGGCCATTGCTCTGCACTGGAAAACCAAAGTGTGTGATCAAAGGTGAAATAAGGGATATTTTTCCACTGCAGGACTTAAAGTGCTTCAAGTAGTGATAGCTGTTGATCCATTTCTCAAATAATCTGTAAGGATCTGGATTTTTAAGAAAGATACAAATATCTCTGCTTATATTTGGCTAAAAGCTTGATATAGACAAGGCATATAGAGCCCCTGCACACCAGCACTGCGCTTACATTATAGTTCAATCAAGAAATAGTTATTATTGATTTATTATTGAATTTTTTTAGTAATAATTTTTAGTATTTAATCACATTAGCACAGTGGGGTGACAAAAATATTCCACATACAAGAAATGCTGCTCAGCATTTCATAAATTACATTTTCAACAAATGTTGGAGTAAAAACACAGTTACAGGGAAAATGTGTCTGTCTGTAAATATTAACTAAACATTTCTATGTGCTACAAAATAGACATACTGTAATTGTAAATGTGCTGAGGTGAAACTATACTTTCAATAATTTTACCACTACAGTCTGTTAACCACCGAAATAATCTATGCTGGTCAGCTAGCTAAAAGTCTTTACTTTAGCAGCCCAAATCAGAGGCTAACATTAGCATTTGCTAGCGTCAGCCAGGAAGGTCTGAGGCTTAAACTAGGGTTAGTGTAACTTTGCCTGAAACCCTTTAAAGTGTACAGTAGAGCCAACTGTAAAACACAGGTATTGATACAGTACTTATTAGAGTCCTAGAATAATTTCTAGAACCATGAAGTTCTCACTTTCCCAGTTATCCACATCGCTGACTTTCGCTAATTAGCTAGTTAGCAGTCACAGCTGTGTAATACCCAGAGAGACACAGACAGCTAACTATAATATTTATGAAAACTGGTTCAGCCACTGAAGGGCAAAACTGGTGGTATCACAGTAAAAATTATTTTAACATTAACTAAAATAAAGCTTAAGTCATGTTAAACCTAAATAACAATTATTTTAAAAAATGAGTCCGCAAAATATTCCTGACTTGTCTGGAGACAGCCGAAACCAGTTAACAAATAAATTAACAATTCTTTCTAAATAAAAACACGGAGTCTTTTGAAAAAACATTATTTTAATAAAACGAAACATGAGTTTTAATACTTACCACAGAAATTTGAAGGCAGTTTCTCCAACTTCAGAATCCAAAATCCAGATGAAGCCTGAAAGAAGCCTAATGGCTGCTCTTGCGCTTACTTTTCCCTCCTTTTCAGGTTCTTTTTCCCACAATGCATTGCAGTAGTTGAGAAATACAGAAAAATACCTGTAAATGACTAATACGGAAAATTCCTTCACGTTTATACAGTAGATTGTACTGTATTTTTACGGATTTTTTTTACAGTGTAGTGAGCGAGAAAGGTGACTGGAAAGGAAAAACTCAATGCATCATGGGAATCCCCCGGCAGCCTATGTCTATTGCAGCATAACTAAGGGAGGATTCAGGGTCACCTGGTCCAGCCCTAACTATATGCTTTAGCAAAAAGGAAAGTTTTAAGCCTAATCTTGAAAGTAGAGATAGTGTCTGTCTCCTGAATCCAAACTGGAAGCTGGTTCCACAGAAGAGGGGCCTGAAAACTGAAGGCTCTCCCTCCCATTCTACTTTTAAATACTCAGGGAACAACAAGTAGGCCTGCAGAGCGAGAGCGAAGTGCTCTAATAGGGTGATATGGTACTACAAGGTCATTAAGATAAGATGGGGCCTGATTATTTAAGACCTTGTATGTGAGAAGCAGGATTTTGAATTCAATTCTGGATTTAACAGGAAGCCAATGAAGGGAAGCCAAAACAGGAGAAATATGCTCTCTCTTTCTAGTCCCTGTCAGGACTCTTGCTGCAGCATTTTGGATTAGCTGAAGGCTTTTCAGTGAGTTTTTTGGACATCCTGATAATAATGAATTACAGTAGTCCAGCCTGGAAGTAATAAATGCATGAACTAGTTTTTCAGCGTCACTCTGAGACAGGATATTTCTAATTTTAGAGACGTTGCGCAAATGGAAGAACGCAGTCTTACATATTTGTTTAATATGTGCATTGAAGGACATGTCCTGGTCAAAAATGACTCCAAGGTTCCTCACAGCGTTACTGGAGGCCAAGGTAATGCCATCCAGAGTAAGAATCTGGTTAGATACCATATTTCTAGGCTTTTCAGGGCCGAGTACAATAACCTCAGTTTTATCTGAATTAAGAAGCAGAAAGTTAGCGGCCATCCAGGTCTTTATGTCTTTAAGACATTCCTGCAGTTTAACTAATTGGTGTGTGTTATCTGGCTTCATGGACAGATAGAGCTGGGTGTCATCTGCATAGCAGTGAAAATTTATGCTATGTCTTCTAATGATACTGCCTAAGGAAAGCATGTATAATGTAAACAGAATTGGTCCTAGCACTGAACCCTGTGGAACTCCATAATTAACCTCAGTGTGTGAAGAGGACTCTCCATTTACATGAACAAATTGGAGTCTATTAGATAGATATGATACAAACCACTGCAGTGCAGTACCTGTAATACCTACAGCATGTTCTAATCGCTCTAATAGGATATTATGGTCGACAGTATCGAATGCTGCACTAAGGTCTAGCAGGACAAGCACAGAGATGAGTCCACTGTCAGAGGCCATAAGAAGATCATTTGTAACCTTCACTAAAGCTGTTTCTGTGCTGTGATGAGCTCTGAAACCTGATTGAAACTCTTCAAATAAACCATTCCTCTGCAGATGATCTGTTAGCTGTTTGACAACTACTCTTTCAAGGATTTTTGATATGAAAGGAAGGTTGGAGATTGGCCTATAATTAGCTAAGACTGCTGGGTCTAGAGATGGCTTTTTGAGTAAAGGTTTAACTACAGCTAGCTTGAAGGCCTGTGGTACATAGCCGATCATTAGAGATAGGTTGATCATATTTAAGATCGAAGAATTAATTAATGGCAGGACTTCTTTGAGCAGTTTTGTAGGAATGGGGTCTAAAAGACACGTTGATGGTTTGGAGGAAGTAATTATTAAAGTTAACTCAGAAAGATCAATTAGAGAAAAAGAGTCTAACTTAACATCAATGGTACTAAGAGTAGCTGTAGATAATATTACATCTGTGGGATGATTACTGGTAATTTTTTCTCTAATGATAAACATTTTATTTGTGAAGAAGTTCATGAAGTCATTACTAGTTAACGTTAAAGGGATTGTTGGCTCAAAAGAGCTCTGCCTTTTTGTCAGCCTGGCTACAGTGCTGAAGAGAAACCTGGGGTTGTTCTTATTTTCTTCAATCAGTGATGAATAGTAAGATGTTCTGGCTTTGTGGAGGGCTTTCTTATAAAGCAGCAAACTATTTCTCCAGGCTAAATGATGATCCTCTAAATTTGTGACACGCCATTTCCTCTCCAGATTACGAGTCATCTGCTTTAGGGTACGTGTTTGAGAATTATACCACGGAGTCAGGTACTTCTGATTAGAGACCTTAGTTTTCACAGGAGCTACAGTATCCAGAGTTGTACGTAGTGAGGAGGTGAAATTATTAACAAGATAATCAACTTCTGTTGGGGTAGCGTTCAGATAGCTGCTCTGCTCTATGTTGGTACAGGGCATTGAAGATGATAACAGTGGGTGGATTATATTCTTAAACTTAGTTACAGCGCTTTCAGAAAGACATCTACTTTGATAAAGTCTACTCTCCACTGCTGTGTAATCAATTATTGTAAATGTAAATGTTATCAGGAAATGATCAGACAGGAGAGGGTTTTCAGGAAACACTGTTAAATGTTCAGTTTCTACGCCATATGTTAAAACAAGATCTAGAGTGTGATTAAAGTGGTGGGTGGGTTCTTTTACATTTTGAGAGAAACCAATTGAGTCTAATAACAGATTAAATGCCATGTTGAGGCTGTCATTTTTAGCATCTACATGGATGTTAAAATCACCCACAATAATTATTTTATCTGAGCTCAGAACTAAATTAGATATAAAGTCTGAGAAATCAGACAGAAACTCTGTGTAAGGCCCAGGTGGACGATAGATGATAACAAGTAAGACTAGTTTCTGAGTTTTACAGCTGGGGTGGACGACGTGTGTATGTTTTATGTGTATAGATTTTTCAAAATTATTACTCCATCCATCCATCTTCATCCACTTTATCCGAGGCCGGGTCGCGGGGGCAGCAGCCTAAGCAAAGAGGCCCAGACCTCCCTCTCCCCGGCCACCTCCTCCAGCTTTTCCAGGGGAACGCCAAGGCGTTCCCGGGCCAGCTGAGAGATATAATCTCTCCAGTGTGTCCTGGGTCTGCCCCGGGGCCTCCTCCCAGTGGGACATGCCTGGAACACCTCACCCAGGAGGTGCCCAGGGGACATCCTTGTCAGATGCCCGAACCACCTCAGCTGGCTCCTTTCGATGTGGAGCAGCAGCGGCTCTACTCTGAGCCCCTCCCGGATGGCCGAACTTCTCACCCTATCTCTAAGGGAGAGGCCAGCCACCCTTTGGAGGAAGCTCATTTCTGCCGCTTGTATCCGCGATCTCGTTCTTTCGGTCACTACCCACAGCTCGTGGCCATAGGTGAGGGTAGGGACGTAGATCGACCGGTAAATTGAGAGCTTCGCTTTTATACTCAGCTCCCTCTTCACCACGACGGACCGGTGCAGCGTCTGCATTACTGCAGCTGCAGCCCCAATCCATCTGTCGATCTCCGGCTCCCTTCTCCCATCACTCGCGAACAAGACCCCGAGATACTTGAACTCCTCCACTTGGGGCAGGAACTCATCCCGACCCGGAGTGGGCACTCCACCCTTTTCCGGATGAGAACCATGGCCTCAGATTTGGAGGTGCTGATCCTCATTCCCGCTGCTTCACACTCGGCTGCGAACCGTTCCAGTTCGAGCTGGAGGCCCACACCCGATGAAGCCAACAGAACCACATCATCCGCAAAAATCAGAGATGAGATTCTGAGGCCACCAAAGCGAAAGCCCTCCGTCACTTGGCTGCGCCTAGAAATCCTGTCCATAAAAATTATGAACAGAACCGGAGACAAAGGGCAGCCCTGGCGGAGCCCATCACCCACTGGGAACGAGTCCGACTTATTGCCGGCAATGTGAACCAAGCTCTTGCAACGATTGTATAGGGATTGAATGGCCCATAGCAATGAGCCAGACACCCCATACTCCTGCAACACCTCCCACAGGACACCCCGAGGGACACGGTCGATTGTGGATTGGGTCGAATGTGTTTTGTGGACTTCTCCAAGTCCACAAAACACATGTAGACTGGTTGGGGAAACTCCCATGCACCCTCAAGTATCCTCGAGAGGATAAAGAGCTGGTCCAGTGTTCCGCGACCAGGACGAAAACTGCATTGTTCCTCCTGTATCTGAGGTTCGATTAGCGGACGAACTCTCCTTTCCAGCACCTTGGCATAGACTTTCCCAGGGAGGCTGAGGAGTGTGATTCCCCTGTAGTTGGAACACACCCTCCGGTCCCCCTTCTAAAAGATGGGGACCACCACCCTGGTCTGCCAGTCCACAGGTACTGCTGCTGATCTCCACACAACATTGCAGAGGCGTGTCAACCAGGACAGCCCTACAACGTCCAGAGCCTTCAGGAACTCGGGGCCGGACCTCATCAACACCAGGGGCTCTGCCACCAAGCAGTTGTTTAACTGCCTCAGTGACCTCGCCCCCGGAAATTGGCGGGTCATTCCCCTCATCCCCAGACTCTGCTTCTTCCTCGGAAGACGTGTCAGTGGGATTAAGGAGGTCCTCGAAGTATTCCTTCCACTGCCTGACAATTTTCTTAGTCGACGTCAGCCAGCACTATACACAGTGCAGGTAGAGCACCGCTTTCCCCTCCTGAGATGCCTGACAGTTTGCCAGAATCTCTTCGAGGCAGTCCGAAAGTCTTTTTCCATGGCCTCTCCGAACTCCTCCCACACCCGAGTTTTTGCTTCAGCCACTGCCCGAGCCGCATTCCGCTTGGCCTGTCGATACCTGTTGGCTGCCTCCGGAGTCCCACAGGCTAACCAAGCCCGATAGGACTCCTTCTTCAGCCTGGTGGCTCCCTTCACCTCTGGTGTCCACCATTTGGTTCGGGGATTACCACCACGGCAGGCACCAACCACCTTGCGACCCCGCCTCTCGCCCTAGGACTGAGTTATGTTGTACTGGAAGCTGTTATTACCACAAACATGCAGGCCAGTGGTGGGGGTGGGCTATTCTTGTAAAGCAGCTTTATTTTTATGACATTTTTTATTGTAACAACCAACGATTTATACAGGAAAATAATGACTATTAACAAGATTGCCCAAACTTTTGCATCCCACTGTATTAGTATATATTGTCATTAGTATAATATGAAATAAATTCTGCAT